ATAGAGCCAAAGATGTTAGAACTGTGTCGATGTCCCAATATTTCTGGACCTGACTGTACTTGCAATAAGGCATAAACAGGCAATTCCCAAAGTATTATTTGTGTTGTTCCTATTATTATTATATTAAGTATTGTTATTCATCAAGAATAATTTAGTACAATGAACAGACAAAAAGAATCACATCTTCGACTGGTATTTTTTGAAAATTTGACCTCCAGCCAGGAACCTATCAATTATCCAAGTAATATTGTAAGATATAACATGTGCCCAGCAATTTTTTTTTTTGCAAATATGTAGCCAATGCAGCAGAAATATTTAGTTCTTGCAAAACTGTGTTTAATCTGTTTGTTATTCCACCCAATGTGCCAATAACTATAGAAATGACTTTGCAAAATCTTTTCCATAATCTTCCTATTTTGAGCGTTAGTTCTCTATAGCTCATATTTTTTCTAATTCTGTTTCCTTGAATCTCTTGTTCCCAGGTATAGCCACTTCTGCAAAATTACTGTTTTCAAATATTGTTATATCGGATGTGTTGTGCTGTAGGTAGCAATCAGTTTGTATGTGAAAATCCCATAAAATGTTAACGTTATCTTCAACTCTTGCTCAATTTTGTGGTCATATCACCTTCAGGAAATTTGTAAATTTTTGTTTTTGTACAGATTCCCATGGATCATAGTAGCTACTCTGTCAAGATATTGAGCAATGTTGCTACATCCACTAATTACATGATCCACGGTTTCATCTTTTTCCTTAGTCTGCATTTGCTGCTGTTGATACATGTTAAATACTTGAATTCATCACATTTTTTTGTTTGTAATTTTTATTTATTACTATTATTTGAAACAAGCATGCCATATGCCAAAATTCCTTTCTGTTGTAATGCGAGCTAAGACTATCAAAGGACACATTGGTAAGGGAAAGATTAGACAAAGCATTTTTAACCTAACAACCAATCCTGATTAAGCTACCTGCTCATAGAGCTTGATTGATTGTTATGATGCCATTTTTGTACTGAGCAACTAGTACAAAATGCTAGATGAGCTGGAGAAGGCAGAGCTACAGATGGTGAATTTCATTTTTGACATCTTGGAATAGCCAAATTGAAGTGATAAATGCTCATCCTACATTGGATACTAGAGAGAACCTGTGAAGACAAGAAAGCCAGCTCTGGAGGTTAGAATAGTACCTTACTTGGCATTGCTACTGCTACCACTGCCACAAGTCAGTTATAGTCTAGCAGAGAATGGGGCATGAATCTGCAACTTGTGGCCTCCAAATAGTTTGCACTTCAGTTCTCATCAAATACAACTCATGGAGCCAATAATAATGTACTGTGGAACTTTGGTTCCAAATATCTAGAAGGCTTCTGGTTGCCTAACTCTGGATTAAAGAGGTAACTGAAATAGCTTCTGTGTTTCTTCAGTGTCTGTCCTCTTCCTGCTGTTCAATGCATATTATTTATTAAGTGCTTTGAACATGCCAGATTAGGTCAAAAAGGTAAAACCAGTGAGGCAGATTGGGAACCTCACAATCAGTCCATTCTGCTTTGGACTTTACCTTAGATCTTAGGTATTGCTTTGGTTTTATATCCTCATCTAAATTGTTTGCATATCTTTGCACATAAGTAGCTGCATCATTCTTTGGATCTTATTATTGTTATCATTAGCAAGGGTAAATGTGAGGTTTTTTCCTTAAATGTTCTATATACCAGTCACCTGATATTTTTCTCCTGAAGGATAATTGCCTTTAAAAAATAGCAACAAAATAAACTCAAGATTATTGTGGTGTAAAAACTGTAGCAAAGGTTATACATATCTGTGATTGTACTTTGCTTTATACATCTAAAACCTGGCCTGATATTAAAGGAATAGACCGTATTTTTTGTATTCATTCAGAAAGTTCCCAAGTAATTTGTCCTGAAAACACTTGCATTGTTTTTTCCTCTTTCTTTTCAGGAAAACAGTGTTTCTTAGTCATACGTCAGCAGCAGTTTAATGTTCAGGCTTTAGTGGCTGTGGGAGACCATGCAAGTAAGCAGATGGTAAAGTTTGCTGCCAAGTAAGTAGGCAATTATATCCTGTTGTCACAGTGAACAATTGTGGGAATTCTGGCTCCCGGGGGTTGGGACCATTTTCACACATTAACATCAATGCTGTACTTGTTTTTAAAATGTAGTTATTTAAAATTGTCAGCTCACTATAACATTGAACGCCTTACATTTATAAAAGACAAAATGGAACCCAGGCCTGAAGTTCATTCTGAGCTGCTAAAGGGGCATTCTTTCCACAGACAGTTCCCATTTATTTCAGGCTCGCTAACAAAACATTTGGCAAGTTGAGCTCTGAGACGTTATTTTCTTGGATGTCTATGTGTCCCTGCGAACACAGGCTCAACCTTTTTTTCTTTAAGTATCAGTTCCTAGCTATGCAATGTATTTTGTCTTGTCTAAATAGCAAGGGCAAATTAAAAGGTGTTTAGAAGTTCAGCACTGTAATTTTTTTTCTTAAAAGGGAAAGGATTAAGAACCTAATTTACATTCCTTTAATCGGTCTCACTGGTGCTTAATCTTGTTCTATGTAGGGTTCCCCCCCCCCTTTATCAAACATTTTCCTAATAGTAATGGATTTTGTTTCTGTTTTATCAAAAAAGTATTGCAGTCAATGTGCTCCTGCTCTTTGTAGGCACCTTTAAAATTTGGGCCTGATGATGTGACAGTTTCTTGGGTAACCAAAGTAATCTGGGAGCAAGGACAGAAAGCAAGATCTCCTGGAAAGAAGCTAAGCAATGGAGTTATCAGAGAGGATTTCTAGACTTGCTCTTAGAACTGTTTGAGTCTGAGTCTCTTTCCTGGTGTTTACAGTTAAACCAGTGAGAATGAGAGAGGGAGTTGTATGTTATGGATCCCTTTTGTTCTAAGATGAATTATAAATCTGATTTGTAACAGAACATATGTACTTACAATTATTCACTTTTAAACTGGTATATCCAGATTTAAGATAAAGGATTATCTCAGTGGTTAAAAACATACTAGTACAAGACGTTTGAAATGCTGCTGTTCTCCTTCCTGTTTGTTCTAGCTTTTATCAGTAAAAGAATGAACTTTCATGTAATCTAGGTCTTGGTGAATTGGTCTCCCAGAACAGGACACTTTTTTCCCTAGCCTGTCTATATTTTTTCTATACCTCTGACTATACCATCAAATTTCTGCTTCTGACCATTTTGAAAAAAGAAATAAAAACTACAGCGTAAGCCTAAATTTGATCTAATACATTTTTAAAAGCCCCTTCCCAAACTGAACTAAACAGAAATCTTAAATCTACTATTGCAGACTTTGGCTCCCCCCTCCCCCAAAAAGCCATTAAAGGCAACACTGAGCCACCAAAGGTGGGTGTCCTTCTGTGCATCTATAAATATCAGAAGTGCAAATAGTTGTAATGGGCAAGAGAAGGAGGTGATACATTCCTCTTAGTTGAAAAAGAGAAATTCCAATAGATCTAGCAATTCAGATTGATTGTGATTATTACTGTATTCTGATATAATGCTTAACTGGACCCAGTCTCTATTAAGTATTCCCCAGCCTGATGCCCTCCATATTATTTAGACACTACTCCTGCAGTTTTGAAAGTACCATGTCAGGGAGGGTTTCTCCAACTATTCTTGTATATGGTTGTGCACAAAACAAGAAGCCCCCCCCCCCCCCGGGTC